CATCGAGTTCGCTGCATGGTCAGTTTATGGCTACACAAGCATTTATTACAATATGTTGTATTTTAGCCCCATTATCGGCTATATCAGTATTGTTGATTACATTGGTGAATGAAAATTTAAAGAAGAGTATATCTTTAGTAGCTAAAGTTCTTGCCATCGCAAGTGTTATTAGTAGAATTATTGGTATTGGGCTTGAGATTAATATTGTTGTGAATGCTATTAAGTATATGGATACTGTTGAGAACATGGTTGGTATAAATAATTGGAATACTAGCATGGGTGTATCGTGTATTTTGGTTATTGTTGCACTCGCATTGAACTTAGTTGGTGCTGTTCTTACTCTTATGATAAAATAAAACATATTTCGTATAAACTACTCAATAAATGATTATTTTTCTTTTAAAAAACTTTCAAACATGCTTCTCTTTGCTTAATTATTGAAATAAATTTTCGTTTTAAAATAAATAATCATCCAGTCTAAGATTATTTAGTTATCGATAGCCTAATTTATTAACAAAATTGTGAAGTCAAAAACAGGAGAATATAATGCAATGGTCATCATATTTTCTGAATTTTTCTTTTTCATAATATGTGGTTTGACATCACCCAGGTCGAAGCTACCGCACAGGATCCTATCGGATCCAATATAATTCGGCGTTATCCAACTATCGGATCCGACCGGATTCCGATAGATAGAATCCAATGATATCCGTTGGTTTCTGATACTTTCCGATAATCGGATAGTCTAGATTTCGTTAACACGATCTGACAAAATCCAGTAACGTCGGTGATTGTCTGTTTACTTTTCTTACTAATATTTAAAAAATATTTTCTATTTATTCTGAACAATAATCTAGATGAATATATTTAACAAATTCTAAACACCATTTCTTTCTATTCTAGATAAATACATAACAAATTTGAAAATTTATTTTCTTCTATTGTAGATGAGTATATTTAATAATCTTACAACTTAACTTTTTCTTTTTTAAATAAATTTATTTAAATAACTCAAAAATTCAATATCTTTTTTTCTAGATAAATATATTTAATAATTTTAAAATTCATTCTCTGCTTGTCTAGTGTTCTTTATTCATAAGAAGTCTTTTATTTTTCTGAAACAGACTTTTATTATGAAAAACTCTTCTTCCATTTGTATGGTTTCTTGTCATAGTATATAACCTTTTCTGTTATTCCATTAAGGGTATTTGAAAATAAATAGGTTTGCAACATGAATAAAAGCTTAGGAGTAGTGAATAACCAAAAGCAAACCATTGCTGCATCTACACCGACAGCAATAGCTGATTCAGAGTTAAAACCCCAACAAAATCCTGTCGGATGCTACAGGTTCCGATATCTTCTGGCTAACGGATTTTCCGTTGGAAACTGTCGGATCCGACATCCGACAACTTCCTGTCGGAATCCTATGCTGAGGAAATCGATATCTTCCGATAGGATCCTATCGGAAGTTATCAGATATGATGGGTTATCCGACAGGAACCGATAGGATCCTAAGTGTGGATTCTTTGACCTGGGTGCATCCTTAATCTCTGTTTATTGAGATAACGTTCAGTTACGTAAAGAATATAATGTTTTCGCTTTCGTACGAAAAAAAACATCTTAATTTTACGTTGCTTATATTTAAATGACTAGAAAACGTAGACCTTCCTGTGAGAATCCGCTGAAAAATGTTAAGAACTTAGCGCATGAATGCGATCACTGTATTTGAAAACCAGTTTTGAATGAAGCCTAAGAAATCCAATTATGAAAATACTACTCTGAAGTTCTATTGATTTTCTATGTTTTTCTTAAGAATTTCGACTAATCTTGTCATGCTGAGTTTATGTCTTCTCTTCTTGGATTATAAAGTTCTCTTTCTCGTAGAGAAGAGGCTTGCAAACATAAATTGTCTGCTTGCTTGCGTATCCGCACTTCATTGATTGATCCAAAAATTAGGTAAAAATATAAAAGGATTTTTTTATAATGGTCGACCAAAGGGTAATCGGGATCGAGGAACTCGAACCTGATATCAGTCTTTAAAAAAAAATTTGGAATCATTGTTTTCATACAAACGACCACTTTTTTACGAAAAAAAATATTTATAAGGGTTTATTAAAGGGTTATCAAGATTGAGAGTCTCAGATTTGAAGTCGATTTTTGGAATTGTTTAATTAGATAGTTTACTGGTAGTGAAGACACACCGTTTCTACGAGAAAGAGCTGGCCGTGTCTCTAGACGAGCGTTACTTGTATAATACATTGAAATATCGAAAGAAAGTAAAGACGTCATCAACTTTGTTTAGTAATTTTTCTAATGTAATTATGGAGATGCCGTTTTCTATTTACAAAAAGTTTGCATATATTACCACCATTGTTTTACTCACAGACATGTGATTTTTTAAAGTAATGTCCTTTTTTCTTTTTGTAATTTCATCAAACCTAGATCTTTCTAGAAGTTGTCTGCTTCTATCGTTTCTTTTTGAGAATAATCAATAAGATTGTCCAACTAACTTCTTCATCTGTTACATACATTGTATGTTACAGCAGCATAGAAACGAGAGAAAAGAAAAATAAAGCATGTTTTCAGTGGATAAATGTTTTTCCTCGAGAAAATAACACTTAAGAATGTGTTGTTATGATAAACAATATTAAACTCAAGTCAGAATACTGAAAAAACTGTTTGTTTTTATTTATCTAATAAATCAGATGTGTTGTCTTTCATTAATACTATCATACATAGACATGGAGCCTAATTGTTTGGATCATTGTTACACTGATGAAGAAAAATACGATTATCTATTAAATCATAGATCCAAAAAATGAAGAATAGAAATGATACTATAGAATAGCAAAAGAGGAATTATGAAAATGTTGTCATACCCTGTGTTAGAGTCAATTGAAATATCTAAATTCAGTTAGTTTGAATCTGGAGGATTATTCAATTTTCTTTGTTCTATATGAAAATGGTGTGAGAGTTAATTGATAACGACTATCTAATTTATACATGGACACAATGAATTAAATTTCAATTCAAGGATTTTGATTTTTAAAAGAAAAATTTCATTTGCCACTAAATCTTGATTATTTTCTTTTCAAATCCCATTTTATTGAGTCGATTGTTTTGTATATTTTTTCATCTCTATTCATTTTCCATATAACAAAAAAACATTCTGTTTGTAAATATATTTGTCTCTAAGTAACATATCAACAAAGAAAACTCGTCTTTCCAAATGGATGTGTTTTTACAAAATAAAATACAAGTCATGACTAATTCTTTCATTAGATTGATGAAATGTGATGAAAAAGAAGCATACGCTACATTGACAAAGGAAAAGAGCGAGAAAAAGAAGAAAAAAAATAGTCTGTATCGCCTAACAGATTCTTTTTCTTTTATTCTCAGTTAAATTCATTTCATCAACTTGCAATTCAGTTGGTAATGGCTTCAAAAAGAATGTGTCTATGGTTTGTATTTATGATTATTACACAATCGGTTGGAGAAGATATGCAATCATTCCGAATGTCTTCAATGCGTGGTTGGAAATTTCATTGTACTGGTACACCTTGTTTACCATTGGTAAGTATCATTACGTCGACTATTATGAAGTGTCAAATGGCATGTTTAGCTCAAGTTTATTGTAGAGCAGCCAGTTTTCAGAAATCAACTTCTAATTGCGAATTATTTAGTGATATGTCAAATGAAACTGCAAACATGCAGCCTGATACCGACATTACTAGTATGATTGTTATTGCTGGAACACGATCTCCACCTGGTTAGTATGACTACACTAAATTTAGAAAGAAAATCATATGAATATTTGAGAGAGAGAAAAATGTTTTTTTCTTTTAGTAAGCTTTATTCATAATTAGCTTGTTGATTAGGAATATGTATAGAGATGGGCCATGTAATGGTTTCCTTTTTTCATTGACTTTGTACTATTGGAAATATCGAATATGAACAATAAAACAAAAGATTAATGCATCTGTGCATACTAGTTGATATAGAAGTAATAAATTAAGGAGAGTACTATTCAAAGTTAAGTAAAGGAAGAAAGAAAAACTTTTTTTTCTTAATTTTTACGTATGATAAATGTTGAAGAAAAGTTTTCTTTTTTTTCCTCTTCTTAACTCTGCAGTAAACTCTTCGTCATTTTCTGAATTGATAAGAAATCATGAATGGATCAG